CTCTCCGTGCCAAACCATAGGTGTTAGTTCATCTCCTAACACTAGCTTGAAGGGGAATGAAATCGAGAACAACCATCATCAACAATATATAGTAGGTACAATAGCCTTTAATATGTGAAAGATTCATTTTTCCCCTTTCCATGTGATTTCCTCTGCATACCACTATCTCTTTTTGTATTCTGATTGCGCTTGTTGATGCTCATCGTCTTTGGGCCTTGGAGGGAGCAGCATGAGGCTTGAGTTGCTGATGATGTCATAACAGAGATTTTGGGTCCCTGTCTTCGTTTGTAACAGAGGCTCTGTTCTCACTTTCAACTTCAAGGAACAAAACACACAGATACGTTGTGACTGAATTCCAAGGGGTCGATTAGGTAAACCAACCAAAATACGAGCTTTGTTAGTGGGGAAACCATATTTTCTATGAGATTTTTTGTTTCCTTGTTGAGTAACAAAGGGAAATCACAACGCAAGCCTTAAAGCTGAATGATCAGCTGAATGGATGCTCAATGAACTCACCTGATATCCATCTAGCATTTGTATATTTACGACGAATCAAGGCTAGCCAATACCAAATTCTATCAAAATTCTGCTTTGGAGAATTCTTTCCAAGAACGTTACGCTATCATAAATCCAGTGTATAATTAAAGAAAATGTTAGAAAAACTTACTGTTTCATTTTGTGACAAAAAAAAAACTTACTGTTTCATTTGCTTACAGCATAATAAATCTTCTTGGCAAAGACTTGTCTACCAAATCAACAGATTTGATAATACAGGTAAATTTATGATCAGAGTTAGAACCACAAGCTTTCCAGCACTGTGATAGTGATAGTACAGGAAAGCACAAGAAGACCAAACATACAATTTTTAAAAAAGACAGAGCAGAGTTGATGATAGGATCCATTGGTTATGATCTGAAACAGTTTCCAAATTTCAGGTCACCAAGAGGATTAGATATTCAATCACTAAGAAACCTTAAGAGCTAACAAACAGAAAAGATAATAAGAGCATTCTCACAACAATGGCAAAAATTCATCATCTTGACTTTTTGGATTACGTTGTCTTCCTCTTTAATTTAAGCTTCCAATGTTCCTCGGGACTTATTTGAGTGTTTAATAGTGAAAACTGATGGAGAGAGATGAAAAGATTCAAACGAATGAAATATTAGTCCATTGTGACATACAAAGCTAAACAGAGTATTAGACTCAAAGATGTTAAACAGAAGAGAGTGATACCTTGTCAGGTCTTCAAACGCTTCACTCTGGGTTCATCAAACTCATCGCTCCCATCAGAGAGAAATTTCATCGTCGTCTTGTTCTGAACTAGATGCATCGCTTCCATCAGAGAGATTTCCATCGTCGTCTTGTTCTGAACTAGATGCATCGGTTTCGAACGCCATGATCCGGACACCACATTCAATAACGTCGCTGAATTCGAATGATATCTCGTTGCCCTGTTCAAGCCATCCATCTTCCTCAAAGATAAAAGCGTCAGCTATAAACAGATGCTCTGTTTGGAGTACGTGGACATGAAAATATATGTACTCCTCAATGAGGCAACCGTTTAAGTGTATGCGATAAGACAAACTACACTGTTTCATCTGCGGTTTAGGGGAAACCACGGCACAAATCCTAAAAACTTTGGAATCTGAGCGGATGGTCAAGAAATTCCCTTTAGCTCTGTGATCAAACTCTGTAGGCATTGTGCTTCCGGGTAAGCATGCCAAAGATGATTCACTGGTAATTACGCTCCGTGCTTCTCGGCTCAATTTTAAGCAATTGGGGAAATAGTGTTCTTCACACTGAGAGTCCAAAGGGAAAGGCATTAGTGTCTCCAATGATTCACAATTGCCTACTAGTAGCTTTCTGAGCGAGCGAGGGAGCTCTGGCAGTGATGCAAGTTTTCGACAGTTGTGTATATAAAGCTCTTTTAACCCATGTAGATCTTTGATCCAATCTGGAAGTTTCTCAATCTCAAATAATCTATCGAGATTGCCAAATATAA